CTAATCTTTAGTGGAAACTTACGAGATACTGAACATAACAGTCAATAATTGGTTTAGTTAAAAAAGACATGTTCCGAGCAAAAGTTGGGGATTCACTAGAGGTTAATAACAGGCATGGCTTGAAAAGTGGATTTCTGGGGAAAGTGGGTGTTTTGAGAACAATAGGGGTTGGGGTATGAGAACAGTAGGGGTTAGGTCTAAAATGTGTCAACATCACTATTTCTGCATTTACTTTCACTGGCCTCACTTTTGGAAGTCAAATGAAGCTTGATTTCCCTCAATGGCCAGGATAGCAAGGTGTTATCTCTCCGCACCTCCAACCAGTGTAGACAGTGAATGGGCTTTTAGCACTGTTGGCAACATTTTCACACACAAAAGGTCAAGGAATTTACCTGAAAATGGCAAAATTCCAAAAATACAGGCATTCTGCACACTGGTGTGCATATTTTTGTTAGTTAATTTTTAAAGTTGAAAGTAAAACTGGAATATTCTATTGCTGATTATTCAGTTAAATGTAATAAATGTCAATTTTGTTTTGTTTCTAATTTTTGTGTATGTTGTTTATTTTTTTGGGGGTGAGGGGGAAAAAACCCAGTCCTGGTTTACACCCAGCCCTGGCTGAAGCTTAGTGGCTGGGTACCCGGACCCAGTATTCGGCCAAATTTTACTACCAGTGTATCCCTAGTATTTAGACATACGTGTCTGAGTGTGCTTATATAAATAAACTATACACAAGCTCGCACTTATCTTTTCTTTGTGGATATGCATGCACATATGTATATTTATTTATTTTTCAACATTAATTTTTCTATTTTATTTCATTCCTAGACACTAGAATACTAACTATCAATACAATGTACATTGCCCTACTTATCTGTTATTATTACAAACTTTTTTCCAAAAACTTTTAAAGTATATTTGAAACCTCAATTTTTAATTATTATTTACAACAATATACATACTAATATTATATTATTTTTACAATAATACTGATGTATACATCTTCAGGTCTGTTGTATGATGCTCATACTAATCATTATATGTTTGATAAACCTTTGTGGTATCAAACCATCTGGTCCATCAAATTTTAAAACCACCTTAGGAAGTGCATCATAGCAAGAAACATTGTGAAAGTTAAAGCATCTATTTACCAATTTTTTAATAAGTTCTTTTCCTTTTTTTTTCCGATTTAAACATGCCATAGTGGCAATTCTCTTTCTTTTCACTTCTGAGATGTGTGATATTTTTGTGAGAGTTGAAGTTAAACAAAATCAAAACATCAAAATGAAACTTTTTAAAAAAAAATGATCCAATATAATTATCAACCATGTACTTACAAATCCAACAGCCTATTCTCACTTCATAGTTATAACAGTAGTTTTGTGGTTGGTCCTGGTTTCGACACAAAAGGCCTCTAGATAGGTCACAGGTCACTTTTTGTTGCATAGTAGAGTAATCTTTACGTGTTATACTTTCCCGACACTGAATGCTTACTGGATTGAGACAACCACCACTGACTTCCACAACCTTTCTGATTGGCTCTTGGTCACCAATACTTCCGGGTTTCGGTGTACTCAAACTGATCCAAGGACCATATCTTACACATTTTTCTAAATAATGTGAAAGAGCAAATAAAAGGTGAAGTAAGCCTACTAAGTCTTGAGATCTTTCAGTCTCATAAACTTCAGAAAATATTGAAATTAATATAAATCAGAAAAACTAGTGAAAATAAAACCAACATATTACTGTTAATTCATAATTGATTAAAACTAAAACAATTTCTTAATACTTACTTACTATTTAAAATACCTCTATTTTAAAATAACAATCATAAAGTGAAGATTTCACTGCAGAACTCACCATAAGCTACAAAGCAGCCAAGTAATTCCAACCTCATGCTAATAGCTCCATAAAATTCCAAAGGTACAATTCTGACAGTTATAGCATTGATTGAAGTGTCAAAAACGTTGTAAACTAAAGAATTGCGGTCAGTATTCCCTTTAAAAACCTTTAGAAAGAAGAATTCAAATTAATCCAATCAATCACAAAAACTACAGTTGGCAAAAATCTATTTTTTATATTGTGATAAAAAATGTTCTATCAATCACAACATGAACATTTCTGGGAAAACGTGTATAGTACTAATTGTCTTTGTGATGTTTTATGTTTGTATGAGTGTGAAATTAAATAAAATCAAAGAATAAAAATTAACACAAAAAAAAATAATACAAATATTAATCATACTTGAAGTGTGGTTACCACACTATGCAACTGTCTACACTTGAAGTGTGGTTACCACACTATGCAACTGTCTACATCTTCATTAAAATATTAATAATAATCTTGCTTTGTACAGACATTTATAAAATGGTAAATTTATTTAAACTTTACTTACAAGTAGTTTTAACTAAGTGAGACAACAATTTTAATTTCATGAACAGTTTTTCTGATGATCAGTGAAAAACTGAACAAGTGATACTTGTCACAAAATAGCACCACACAGTATCTCAGTCACAGAGTTAAGAATGAGACATTCCCATGTTAAGAATTCAGTATACAATGAACAAACTAAAGAAATGGTTAAAGAAGGGTTAAAAGTATTAACATGTAACAAATACTTTGGTTGAGAATACAGAATATCTGGTTATCATTTCCAATTAACATGAGTGTGTGGGTTAGATAAATATTTTGTTCGATATGAGTGAAGATGTATTTTTAACTTGATCATGAAGGATCAGTTTTTCACATTTGACTAACTAACTAAGCACACAACATCTTCCTACAACGATGGGTTGTATATCAAGGAGGTAAATACTAAAAGAACCCTAGTATGAATCAAAAAGATTAAGTAAATTCAGTGTTAGGTAACAAAAGAATTATTAATTAACTGGATATAAAGTTAATCATTTGAAGGCTCAGAGCTATTTGATTCTGCTCAAGTAGTGCTTTACGACAATTACAATGAGTACTTTGTGAAAGCTCATTGGATACATGTGAATAAATTTCTGCATGAGAACTGACCTAGTCCAGAAGAGGTCATATCTAGCTATAATATAAAAGTTGTTAGTGAGAGAGAACATTAGCAGCATTAAAACTAGAGAGAATCTAACTACAAAATAAGTTTCAAGTTTTTCCTTGTATAAAGATTAGGCATTTCTTTAAAATAAAAAAACCCCAAAACAACGAAAATAATGGACTACGTAAAAGTTACTAGTATTGTTAAATTACTAAAATGTCAAAAAGTTATAATAAATGTTTTGTGTTATGATAACTGGGCTCTAGGTATTCTTTATTTTCATGTAAAGTACCCTGAGATCGTGAAAATGTGAGCTTGTCACTGACTGTACTTAGCTGTATTTTAAACAAGTGTTATATTTCCAGGGTTTTACTACACATTAGCAATATGACCCATTAAATGAAAAATCTAAATATTTTCATCTTAAAACATTTAGAAACGTAGCTATTTACCTTATTACCAACATTATTTCTTGCACTGATCCATTTCTTATCATCAGCAGTATATAAAACAGCAAAGTTTGTTACCCAATTATCTGCATCTTCACGGCCTAATTTAGGGAAATTAAAAACCAGTTTTTGGTAATTTTTCTAAATTATACAACTTAAAAAATAAAAGTCCTAAATTTTCACACATGTACTGACAATTTTAAGGATTAAACAATGCTGATTGATGTGTGCAATATAAAGTTGAATTATCATCACATCTGCAAGACTAGCTTAAGATAGCAAGCTGAAATATCACATCTGCATGACTGGTTTAAGATATAAACTGAAAATATCATCACATCTGCATGACTGCTTTAAGATATGAAGATGAAATATCACAGTTGCATGACTGGTTTAAGATATAAGGCTGAATTATGAATGAACAAGCATGTGATTAAGAAAACCTGATGATAAATATACCAAATGTTCTTAAATTAAAGTTATTTTTCTTACCCTGAGTTATAATTCCAGACAACTCTCTTATATCAGGAAACCTGATTTCAACAAACTGTTTCTGATCATTTACTTGTGCTACCCATCCTCCTGTCCCATCTGCCCTGGACACAGTATTGAGTCGAATACGATCAGAACCACTCTGGGGATTCAGAGAGGACGATACGCGTATATCAGCTGTTGGAATCTGCCCATTCTCTAGTCCCATTGGTTCATTACATTCTATAAATGATAATAATATTTTTGCACCACAAACACACTTTTTCTTATTGAAGCTATCACTGTGACATTTTACTATTTGTTTATATTTTTTAGCATAGAATTAAAAGTAGAACCCCCTAAAATTAATTATTGTAAAAATGAAATTTTTGTGAACTTGTTTTTGTGGGTTTTGAAAATGTGTATAGAAGGTTTTTAGATATTAATATTTTGTTAATAGAAAAACAATACTTATACTTCATAATCATTATTTTCACTTTTAAAGGCTACGTAATTCATGTTAAGTTCATTTTTATAAATTGTATAGTAACTGGGAACTAAAGCTCCATTATGATGTTAAAAACATGTTGGTTCAAACAAATCAACTTACGACAAAACTAAAAAAACCCTATAAGCCAAGTGCTTTTGAAAGGTGAGCCTTTCTTCATCAGTTTGTCTCTGGTGATGAAATGTCCATCTTTTGAAAATTCTTGAGTTATAGGATTTTGTATTTTTACTAAAACTGCATGTAATTAAATTATTTTTGCAAATTTTTATAAACCTAAATTTTAAAACAACTTCAATTTGAAATTGTTGGTTGCAAATAATGTATCTTTCCAATTGTCTTTATGAGGATTAATAATTTGTTTGTTTTTTACTAATTTTTGATATATTCACAATACAAAACTTACTAGAAATAATGAAAGGTGTAGTTGAAGTAACTGGAAGTTCAGAAACAACTTCAGCTGAAAAAATAAAGTCATATCATTACTCAAGACAACAGTCAAAACAGCAGAAAAATAACCTATTTTTTAAATCTTATTTTCTTATTATCGTTATATGTTTGCCAAATTAAGATTAACGTAAAAGATTATTTAATGGTTATAAACATTCACAAAAGATTACATTGTACATGAACTTAAACAAAATCCAAGTCCTATATAAATCCTGTTTTAAATATACAACTTACTTGTGGGCTCATAGCAGCCAAGAAGTTCCAGACGCATTGATATCCAATTATGCCATTTGAAAGGGTGAATTTGAAGATACTGAGCCCTAATAATCTTTGGAAAGTAGTTGGTAACTTGTGTATCACTGTCAAAGTTAGCAGGATAGATCTGAAAACACACAAAATATATCCAGATCTGAGCCCCAGTAACCTTTTAAAAGTAGTTGCTAACATGTATCACAATCAAAGTTAGCAGGATAGTTCTGATAATATATGAAAATCTTGTTAGATCTGTTTGAAAGTACAAAATGTAAAAAAAGTGTGTACATCAAAGGAAAATATTTCAGAAGTCATATAAAAACCATAATATAGTTAAACAATAACATGAGGCACTACAATAATGATTATGTCAACTTATGCTTACCAGTGGTACTACTATAATGATTATGTCAACTTATGCTTACCAGTGGTCCTACTATAATGATTATGTCAACTTATGCTTACCAGTGGTCCTACTATAATGATTATGTCAACTTATGCTTACCAGTGGTCCTACTATAATGATTATGTCAACTTGTCCTTACCAGTGGTACTACTATAATGATTATATCAACTTATGCTTACCAGTGGTACTACTATAATGATTATGTCAACTTGTCCTTACCAGTGGTACTACTATAATGATTATATCAACTTATGCTTACCAGTGGTACTACTATAATGATTATGTCAACTTGTCCTTACCAGTGGTACTACTATAATGATTATATCAACTTATGCTTACCAGTCATACTGATTTAACGATTATATCAACTTATGCTTATCAGTGGTACTACTACAATGATTATGTCAACTTATGCTTACCAGTAATACTATAATGATTATGTCAACTTTTCCTTACCAGTGGTACTACTATAATTATGTCAACTTATGCTAATCAGTGGTAGTACTATAATCGTTATGTCAAATAAATTACGCTTATGAGAGGCACTACTATAATGATTATGTCAACTTATGCTTACCAGTGGCACTACTATAATGATTATGTCACCTTTTTGTTTACCAGTGGTACTACTATAATGAATATGTCAACTTGTCCTTACCAGTGGTCCTACTACAATGATTATATCAACTTATGCTAATCAGTGGTACTACTATAATGAATATGTCACCTTTTGTTAGCCAGTAGCACTACTATAGTGATTATTTCAACTTATGATTACCAGTGGCACTACTTTGAATGATGTAAGGAAGAAACTAAATTAATAATTTACCTTTGGTTTGTTATTCTCTGATAAATAAGTGAAAGGGCCATCTTTAGTACTCTTGTAAGTGATGTAGTAAGAAGTGACCCATTGGGATACTCCATTACGCCCTTGAGTGATTAAACCAGTCAGGTTCTTTGGTGCCCGAAGATTGATCTTAAAATATTAAAAATGATTTTAATAACACTTACTTTCCTTGAAGAGTAACTTAGAATGTCCTGAAAATTTTATGAAGCACACAAAATAAAACGTGTATTTTAAATTACCTGATTTTCTCTCCTAAACAATTAAACATTACTTTAAACTGGATTTACATTCAAGCCATGTACAAGTAGCAACATCTTATATTTAGTCTAAGTTTTCTTATGCTGTTACTATTACTTTATTCCACCTAAGTCCCTATATAAATTTTACAAAACCTATTTCAGTTCTTAGAAATCTAAAGACAAGATTACACTAATAATATTATGAATTTAAAGATGTCTATATTAAACAAAATCTTTTCATTTCGGACAACTGCCTATGCATAAAATTAAAAGGTAAACAAATAAATGATATAAAAATGAAGCTCTATAAATAGATTAATTTTAAAAATTATTTTTATAAAAGAAGTTTCAGTGATAAAAACACAGAATGAATTGAATTATTTATAACATGTTAAATATGGTGATGTACAGTTAACAATGTACCTCACAAAACATTAAATAATAGCAAATGAAAGTTGAATCAGTTTTTTTACCCAATGTGCACAAGTTTGGTCCAATGAACTGAGCCCATATTGGATAAGTAATATTGAATATAATCCCAAATTTACTCTGAGTAGTTGCATAAAATATGAAAAGCTTTTAGTAAAATATACAAGTCTGTTGTACAGAAAAATCAGATGTGTTAAAAAGTATTTGTACTCAAGATATGTCTGTGAATTAATGACATCAATCTTACTCAGACTTTGACAAGTTGAAAAGCAAAATCATATTCACGTGAAGAATAAAAAATACTTTTGTACATCTTGCCGTTTGCACAACTAACGTTTTTTCATTATCCCTGTATATTGTACCTGGTATTCACTCTCTTCTAGCATGATATGTCACTAAATCAGCAATGTAGGGTCAAATTAACAACTGATAACTCTGACATCAAACACATAATACCATGTTGAATGGCATTCTGTTAGTTTGTGAGAAGTGAACTTGGACCCTCACCCCCATTAACTTGGGTTAGTAAACAAAATCTTATTAAGTAGACTCTTGAAAATTATTTCTACAAAAATGGTACTTGCAGCTTTAAAGGCACACATTTAAAATTACTTTCATTAAAATTACAAGTGCATGTCTGAAAAGTATATTTAAACAATTATTTACAGGAACATGTCTAGCACAATCTAGTCTGCTATACTTTGAAATTATTTACAGAAAAAAAGGTTAGGTATATTGTTATCAAACATAAGTTCAAAATTATTTGCAGGCCTGATGTTTGAAAGATGGATAAGAATTTTAATGGTAAGAACATATGGAGAACTTCAAAATAATTTCTTAATTCATAAGATCTTAAATAATTATAAATATTTATCAAAAATTTTAAAAAGTGCCAGTAAATGTATACATCAAATCTTAGCAGATTAATACATAATATTAAATTTAGACACAGATGTTTATAATGACTACACCACACATATGATTACAGGTATTAAACACCAAAAACTGAAGAACAAATGAAACCTACAGGCCTAACATTCATAAGAAAATATCCCAATAGACTGCAGCTGTTTGTATTTCTGTTAGTTAGACCATTGCTTATCTAAAATAGCTGAAATTTAAAAATAGTATTTTAAATCCATCTATTGTCTCTGTGTTGATGGCCTTTCATTCAATACTGAGTTTTATTAGTTATGCTGGACATGATGGCAGACAATTCTATCTAAACTAAACTCTCTGTGCAGAGTCAAGTCACAGATTTAAGGTGCTATCTGTACAATACATCCGTAAGTGAATAACATTTACAGTTTAGTGTAATTTAAATCCAACTCTGTTGTTAGAAATTAGTGTATTATATGTCTTTACAGTGCTCCAAGCATCCTACATGTATGTTTACTTGAATGACTTACATTGTGTATTATATTATTTATTATATATAACAATTTTACCTTTTAAATCAGAAAAAAATCACTAGAAATAAACTTTTTTAGTACTCTGATTAAAAACAGAAAATTAAGTACAAGAGATATTTCAAGAAAATTTACCTCAATAAACTGGTTTGAATCCTCAAACTTAGCTACCCACCCACCAGCTGCACCTTTTGTGGCAAGTGTGTTTAGTCCAATTCTAGAAGGCCCAAAGCTTGGTCCTTTAGAAGAAGTAACTCTGACCTGATCAGGTGTCATTTTACCATTCTCTAATCCCATTTTATCTTGACATTCTATAATGAGAGTAGTTACAGAAACAGTTCTGTCTTTTAGGAAATATCTTGAAAAGTTTAACATAATAAATATTAACAGAAACAACACATCAGATACAGCTACTTTTATGTTAAGCAGCAACAAAGATTAGACACAGCTACTTCTGTGTTAGTTTACCAGCTACAAAGGTTAGACACAGCTACTTCTGTGTTAGTTTACCAGCTACAAAGGTTAGACACAGCTACTTCTGTGTTAGTTTACCAGCTACAAAGGTTAGACACAGCTACTTGTATCTTAACCTTCACATTACTTTTCTAGTTTCCAAAATTTTGACAAAAACTTTCAAACTCAATTTCTCTACTACTTGAATTCATTTTTCATGGTACTAGCTAACTTACAAAAAGTGAAATCAAGAAGATAATAAAATGTAATGAATTTTTATTCTATGTATCACAACTTGAATTTCACAAGTATTTATGTACTTGTTTGCCAGAGTACCAGCTTCAAAGAAATCGTTCATGCGTTAGAATATGTAGTATTAATCGAAATCCTAATAAAACTATTTCTTAAGGAAAAATGATAATTATTATCAGAAAATAACTTGTTTTAACTGGTGTACCTATACCTTCAAATTTCATCTCTTTATTTACGTATATCACAGGAATAAATAAAACCATCATAAAAACAACAAAAGTTAAAGCATTAGACTAGAATAAATGTTTTGGGATTAAATGAAATATCTGTAAACATCACAAAAAAAGATGATAAATTCAAGATATTTAGTTTATGATCACTTACCTGGTGAAGGAGTTGGTGCTACTGTGGAAATTTTTTGGAAGCCTAAGAAATAAGGATCAAAAATTAGCTTCCACACAAACACTAAATTATCTTTAATCAACTTTAAAGGCAATAGTGTAAAATAATGTCAGTAAGATAAACTTGTAAATTGTTAAGTAACTTTATTTTAGTTGAATATTTGTTTAAACTTTATGTATAAGTATACTTTACACAATACTGTTAAAAACTGTTTAAGAGCATGAAATGAGATTGCAATTTGAAATACCTTTTGTGAAACTCCTTAAATATTATACCCACCTTCACACCCTAAGAGTTCCAAACGTAACGCAATCTGTCCTACCCATTCCAATGGTTGAACTCTAATATACCTTGCTTCAAAGGGATTTACAAAAATATGTTCCACCTCTGAAGAACTGTCATAGTTTCCTGTAAAAACCTAGGATTTTGCAATAGAAATTATTTTATTTAATATGTTCAATTTAGTGTAATTACTGATGAAATGATATAAAGTTAAGAAATTAAGAAGCCATACAAATCTTTGAGAACATATTAGCTCATCAAAAATAATTATGTAATTTCTCTTCTCTGTCCACCAAAACCAGAAAGCAATATTATATATATATATATCTCTAGAAATAAACAATCTTATAACAACCAAATTCAGTAGTTGTTTTTTTTCATTAATATTTTATTAGAAACACAATGTTTCACTTTAAAGCTTTTTCAGGAGCATTCTACTAAAACACAAACCATAACAGACTGAAAAAAATGCCCTAATAAAATATCTAAAGAAACTCTTCTCATTCAACAGTCATGGCTAAAGATCAACAGGTACAAAGGCTGGCATTTATATATTTTTTATCTGAACTTTTCTATTTCAGTTTTTATTTACAATAGTGTTTGGTTACTATTGATCATTTTAATTTTTAAAAATAAGTATTACTTCATGTAATTCCAAATGGAAACTATAGAATCAATTAGAAGTTCTTATATGAACCAGTTGACAATTTGTGACTTTAAGTACAGGTAAATATGGATTGGTCCAGGAGACACATGGCTATGATTATCTTAAAAAAATATCTGCTACAATTATTTAAAAAAACCCATCTGAAATGGCACTTCTCTCACTTTGGAGTTTGTAAAGAGAGACAAGTGGTTCTTCTCTCCTTGCATTCAAGGTTTTTCCAGTTTCATTTTCCATTTTTATTTTGGACAGAGATTTTTTGATTACTATACATAAAAATATTAATTTCCAACAATAACCTTTACTAAGCATAACACACTTTACAATTTATTAGAATATCTTACCTAAACCAATAAAAGTTTAGTACTGTCAATTATGGTTTGTGTCTTAGTGGAGAAACTGTGAAGTGAAACAACGAATGTTCAATTGAAAAAAACAAACTAACTAAACTTGGTGTTATAAGGTCATTTATTTCTACAATTAATGTGTTGCATTTATCGTGCTACAAATATTAAATAATTGGCACTTACTTTAGCCACTTTGTAATTGGATGATTCTGTCACAAATGAGAAAGACTGATCATTAGAGCTATACATAACCATAAAAGCTGTCACCCATGCTCGAGCTTTGTCCTGACCCTTAATAATAAGACCATATACAGGCTGGACTTTTCCGAGATCAACTTGAAGATACTGATCTTTATCAAGGTAAGCTGGGATCCATGCTCCAGCTAAAACATAATAATAATAATGGATGTTTTCCATATTATTTGGGCAAGAAATTGAATTTGTGAAATTTAACTTCTTCAAAAACACTGAAAATACTTGGTATGCTATACACAAAAATTAGTGTTTATACCTTTCAGAAATTTGCTCAAAACTACATAATGGCTGTCTGTGACCTTAACTTTTTGGAACTAAAAGGCTGACAATGAGGCAGATAATCAATATATTTAATTCTATAAACAGATAGTGAAATTAATGTATTCACAACTCCATTTTAGCCCAACACTTAGTGAACTTAACATTGGAGCTAAATTTCAACTAAATTTCAAAATATTTGATACTGTAATATGTAATCTCCATTAATGTGATGGAAAAATTTGAATTATTTTATTAAAATTACAAACTTGTTGTTTTATTTTTTAATTTCTTGAGAAGATACTGTTTGTTTGAATGAATGCCTCAATCTTTTTAGTTCAAACAAAGAAATATAAAAACTTTGCTGTGAAAACTGGTAAAGCATTATCTTATACTCAAAACCAGCATTTTAATTTTGTCACAGACCTGAATTTGGTCCCTTCTGTGATGTTAATCTTGAATTCTGTGGCTCACTTTCTGAACTTAAACTACTTGAAGCTTTCAGTTTTTCATCAGGAAGAGGGGTTGGTCCACTGATGAGACGTTTGTAAATAGTACACGCGGCTAGGATATGCAATAAACAATTACTTGGACTATATATTATCCAGAAGTTAATTCTTTTCAGCAAAAATAAAACTAATAATGTTGGAAAAAAGAAAAGGCTTCATAATACATTATGAAACAACATAACTACATTTTCCTGATATTGTATACATATACTAATGATGATATTTTTTAATGAACATGATAATAACTCTAACCCCATATACCATATGAATTAACATAGGTAAGTTAAATTAATAAAACAATATCACTATGTAGGTATTCTTCTAAGTCTAAACTATTTATTTTTGTTAACAACAAATAATAATAATACTTTACTTATGTAGGTAAAAGAAACTTGAAGAACTAAGTGTTCAGTACGTGGACTTAATCCTAGCATATTCAATAAGTGGACACAACCTTAACATACTCAGTACCTAGATGTAATCCTAACATACTCAAATCTTGGCCTAACCTCTGTACACAAACTTAATTTATACATGCATAGTATCCTACATGATCAATACGTGAGCCTAATCCTTAGAGTATGTTAACTGGACATGGTCTCAACATATTCATTATATAAATATAATCTCTCCATGTTTAGTACATGAACTAAACTCCTTAATGATTAGTGTTCAGACATAAATCCTTCATTCTTGGTACTTGTTTGTCAGCATGTAATCCCTCCATGCTCAGTACCTAGGCATAACCCCTAAATGCTCAATACAAGGATATAAATCTTAATGCTCATTATCTAAGTATAATCCCTAAATATTAGTACATGGATGTAATCCCTCCATGTTCAGTACCTAGATTTAATCCCTATATGTTCATTACCAAGGCAAAATCCCTAAATACTCAAAATATGGATGTAATTCCTACGAGGTAAGTATCTCAATGTAATCTCTACATGCACAGTATCTGGATTTAATCACAATATAGCACCTTTCCCAAAAGTAAAGATGCACTTCAAATAAATTTCTAAAACTTGAACTTAGGTACCATATTGAACACTAAATACTAAATTTTTCATAATAATTTTATTGCAATAGACCTGTTTACCTTTCTATGTTAATACTATTTGGTTAACAGAATACACATTCTGATAACATTTGTATAATTCGTCAGCACTTTTCCTGTTCCTTAAGTCATGTACTAAGATCCCAGTGGACTGTGAGGGATTTTCTCAAGATTTTATCTTACTAACAGCTTCTTTTACAATTAGAACAATATAATGATGACCAATAAAATGTTCATAATGGATCAATCACTGAACTTTATTTCAAAACGATACCAGCAAATTGAACATGTTTCTTAATTCTATCCTTAAAAAGTTATCTATTTCTAATTTTTTTTTACATTTAAATCAGTAATGACATTTTAAACTTTACAAGCCTGTATACTGTTGACTAAAGAGTGTCTGAAAACATTCTATATTTTGGTTACTTTAACTTATTAAGAAAGTAACAAGATCAAACTAATTTTATCACCACTTACGGAGTACTGACGGAGTTGTTGGGACAATCACTACTGTAGTAATAGATGGAGTAACTACAGGAGTCTCTATAGAAATTACAAGACTAACTTCAAAATTTGTAGAGAAAAACACATTAGATGAAATGATTTTATTTAAAAACTTAAAACAGACAAATTAATTAGGTATAAAATTAATACTGAAGTTTATATTTCAGCCTAAACTATATATACTTTCTACTATTTATTTACAAGTCATGATGCATGTCGGTAATTAACCTAGCATAATTTTTAAAGAGACAAAACCTAAGAAGTCACTGACTAGCTCTAGGTTGCTGTAAAAATAACAAACATTGACATACTATATATATACATATATCATGATGTATTGTATATAAACTTCAACTAAACTGTATTAATGGGAAACTTTTTTGGCCACTAAAAACTAACACAATTTCAATTCAAATGAACTACATTTTGACATACATAAACTCTTTAAGAACTGTGAATTTATTCTGCCTAATACATACGAGAAAATTTATTGTGTGTTCTTAAGAAACTGAAGTTTTTTACAAAAACAGAATATCCAGATTTTCAAAGTATTATATAAGATGTTACAGATTATAAAAACAGCGTATTAAAATGTTATATACGATGTTACAGGTTACAAAAACAGTATATCAAATTATTATATAAGATGTTACAGATTACAAAAATGACATATCAAAATATATGTATGATGTTACACATTAGAAAAGACTCATATTAAAATGTTATATGCAATGTTACATGCTACAAAAGCAACACAGTATAATCTGATGTTATTATGTGTTATAAACACAGCATATTAAAATATTATATGCAATGCTACATATTACAAAAGCAGCATCTATATAAAAATATGCTTGCTTTTAACTTTCCAGAACTTTTCTTACACATTTCTTGATCAAACACTACAAATTCCATATCATTATAAAGGCCTTTGTCCAAGGAGTCTGGATTGCACATTAGCTTTTTCATTCAAAATACCTTACCCATTTTTTTCCTTAGTCAAACATTTTAATGTAACAAGTATACTACACGATGATACAATGTCATTGTCACCACATGATGACTGGCTTCAATTTCAACTTTTATTTGCAAAGTATTTCACACAGACAATACTTAACCTGTGTGTAAATTCCCCTAAATACAATTTCTATGGGCTTTCTGGACTTAGTCAGATCTAAAATAAGCATGTGCAGTTCCTTCAAAACTGTATGCTTATCAATTTGTGAACACACACATTCAGACATTTCTGTATATTCAGTTAAGTTTGCCTTCATTACAACTTAACATTTACTTTACTTTGCAATAACTTAGCTTCAGTTCATTTCATAGACTTCTATAAACACCTTTTGGCTATTTTTTTCTTGACTACATGTTTTACTCTATATTTTTGTGAGTTTCTTTGTTTCATATTAAAGTGTTATGTAATGTTATTACATTAGAAAAATAGCATATTAAAGTGTTATGTGATGTTATTACATTAGATAAACAGCATAATAAAGTGTTATGTAATATTATTATATTAGAAAAATAGCATATTAAAGTGTTATGTTATGTTATTACATTAGAAAAATAGCATATTAAAGTGTTATGTGATGTTATTACATTAGATAAACAGCATAATAAAGTGTTATGTAATATTATTATATTAGAAAAATAGCATATTAAAGTGTTATGTTATGTTATTACATTAGAAAAATAGCATATTAAAGTGTTATGTGATGTTATTACATTAGAAAAATTGCATAATGGTGTTATGTGATGTTATTACATTAGAAAAACAGCATATTAAAGTGTTATGTGATGTTATTACATTAGAAAAACAGCATATTAAAGTGTTATGTGATGTTATTACATTAGAAAAATGGCATATTAGTGTTATGTGATGTTATTACATTAGAAAATAGCATATTAGTGTTATGTGATGTTATTGCATTAGAAAAACAGCATATTGAAGTGTTACATATGATATTTTACAAGGATCTAACTTTTTTATCTCACTACATATATTTTTTCACAGATGCTACAATCTATTAACAAATTTTCTTATTGTTAACAGACACAATCAAACTACAAATTATTAATTAAATAGGAATACTAGAAGTATACAATACCTGTTATTAGTTCTGTACTAGTTGTCGTCCCTTCACATTCACAAAGAAAGCGTACTTCATAATCATAGCATTTTTGGCCTCCTTTCCCTTGTTTATTTTGACAAATTAAGCCTAATTTAATTTCACAAACGATATTTTGTTTTGGTAAATTGGGCGAAATTCCAATTGGTCTACATTCTATTGCTGTAATCATTTTACTTTCACAAGGTAACTTAAAGTGTTTTGCTTCGATATTCTGAAGTGTTTCATAATCTCCTTTATCATCAACGACATGAGAAGAAATCCAGTTTGTCCAACCACTTACACAGGGTGCTGGTGTTTGAGGGGGAGTTGTGGTGATGAAAGGTGCCGAAAAAGTGCTGCCTGAAAGAAATAAAGAATGAGCAAGGAGGTGAATTAATGCAATGACAACAATAAAACACTTCATAAAGTTATAAAATACAAATGGATACCCAAAATATTCTATAAGAACAATGTTCTAGGCTTTGTGGTGACCTGGGAATAAATTATTCTATGATCTATTTGTTCAGTTTGATAGTCAAGTTTATGGCCAATGACCATGCTCAATTAATGACAAGATTATGGCCAATGATTTGACCAGTTTGATAGCCAGGTTTATGGCTGATGATTGTGCCCCATTTTTTAGCGAATGGTATAAATTTCAATAAAATATGCTTCTGCAAAAGAATGGCAAAGTTAACCCCTGACAAATTTTTCAATGACTTCTTACTGAACATGGATTTAGTTTTCAAGACTATGTACAAGCAAGTGAATGCCTCAAGAGTCATTGCAGCTGCATCAGGGACTTGACAGTTATCTGCTCAAATGGGATTACTCTAATTACCACATTTGAGGTGTACCTTGAGACATATGAGCTTTTGTCAACTTCAAGTCATTGTTTATTATCTTATTAATTGTACCATAAAAATATGTTTAGTTTCATTCCAATGGCTTCTGGTGTTTTTTTTTTTTAACATTCTGGCTGAGACATTGGGCTTCATGGTTTGAGGTGCAGTTTGAAGGTTCTTGTAAGAGTTTTTCTAGTTTTATGGAGAATGTTAAAGGCTCCCTTCTTTCATATATCCTGTTCTTGGTTCTACACTGCTTAATGATACTGATCTCTAGCCCTTCTCTTCAGGAAGGGCTGTGACAAACTTCTTCAGCCATTAGTGATGATTGGGCATTTTCCTTCAGCCATAAGTTTACCTATCAGATGGTTGATAGTTTGCTGTGAACTAAAAATGTGGGTTGCTCATGATATTGTTTCAATGGAACTTTAGACAGAGTAGACATAGTACGTTTAATAATTTAAAGTTCTCAAATCTACTATGTTACTATGATACCATATTTATGCCTACTGTGACACTGTTGATTTAACACCATTAATGACAAATCTTTGTTTCAGAATATCTCTTGAATACAAAAGTCCTTTCATTGTCTTGAATAGATCTGTTTTTATAACTAAGATTTAATTTACGTATACATGTTACTTGCTTTTGTTCTAAAGTTTAAACTTATTATTACAAATAGCTTGTTTAATGACAAATATATGCAAATCAACAATTCAGTCATTCCGATTTTATTCAATTCTTGTTATAACATTTTCATATCTACTTAAATACTTTGCTACAAATTTGTGTTTACTCAATTAAATTAACAGTTTAAGATGAATTTGGACAAAATAACCCATTTGTAGTTGACGTGTGTTGATGAAACATGTGTTCAGCATAAGTCCATTTTTTGAACATAAATCCATGCATTTACTCTGTAAATGGCAAATGTTGGAAAAACTTCCATTAATCTTTAAAAATCTAGGTTCCAAATTATTCAATAAAATATATTATGTTAAAAAAAGTAATAAATTCAATTTAATAAAATTACACCACACAATCTTTTACCTTTATTACACCAAAAAAAAATAGCCTACTGGTGAAGTTTAGACAAGACCCTTACTGAAAATGAAGAATTTAAAATCACACTACTAATACACAATTTTATTCTCAAACAAGAATGTGTAAAACATACTCACTTGTAAGTAATCTCAATTGTTTACAAAACTATATGTAAGTATAAAAAATGATATACAACTGGGTGTCTGTACATATTAAACAACAATATAACTAACAATGAAAAGAAATAATTAAAAAAACTGAAACAAAAAATATGTTCTTAACTGAGAAGACTTTGGTTTTAAAACACAAGACACTGATGTTAAAGAGTAAAAGCTAATGTACTTATTACGTTACATAACATAATTCATATTACATAACACTGCTTTTTCATTGATAAGTTCTATACTAAAAGAAGGACAACTCAGCCATAGAAATAAAATTTCTAATTTGTTTACACTTATCCAAGTCCAAGTGCCTTTAGTTCAAATATTTATGTATAGACTAAAATCAACAATATACTACTGTAGTGCAACAATGCCTTTAGTTCAAATACTTATCTATAGACTAAAATCAACAATATACTACTGTAGTGCAACAATGCCTTCAGTTCAAATACTTATCTATAGACTAAAATCAACAATATACTACTGTAGTGCAAGAATGCCTTCATATCAAAGTACTATTTACAGATTAAATACAACAAATTACTACTGTACTGAGAAAATGCCTACAGTTCATAGTATTTATCTATAAATGAAATCCAACAGGATATTACAGTACTTAAACAATATCTTCTATTGTAACAACTGCCTTGCCATCATAGAGTATAAAAATGAAATATTTCTCTGTGGAAAAGCAGAAATAGCTTCATCACAGCCCAGCTTAGAATCAATAAATACATGTCTTCATGTTGTTTCCATGCTTTGGTAACAATGTAATAATTTTTTGATTAAGTGAAACTGGCTATAACTTATACAATAGAATTAAGGAACACACCAGAACCACCCTCACATACTTATGAAACAAAAACAACATCAGTTTGAGGATAAGAGTTTCAAAATTATATACTTTGAAACTAATGTTAATACAAAAATTAAAGACTTAATAATTGAAAAATTAAAACCAAAAGTAAATTATAATGCTAATGTTAATTTATGTTTACATTGAAACACTGTAAATGTTGAGTAAGATTTATTCTACTTAAATCATTGTTTTGATGTTTACTTTTCATTCTTGTACCTTAAGGTGACCTCATGCATGGCTAAAATGTTTTATCTTTTAATAAAAACGTTTTAACAACTTCATGGTATATATATTTACATAATAATACTGTACTTATACCTATACCTGGAAGTGTATTAAGTCTATATGTGACAAAAATAAAACACAAATTAGCTCTGTACTTGTAATATACCTACAGAAATTAATGAAAAAATCATGCTAAGATTCCTGTAAACTTTGTAGAGAAATAGGTTTTTACTTACAAAGTAGGTATTTTCCAACTGAACTTGTGGAGAATTCACTCTGGATAACTAAATGTTTAATTTAAAATATATATATAAATCTATGACCATTAAAAATGAAAATAAATAGCTACCAGGACAAGGACAGAGAAATCTGACTTCATAATCATAACATCCTTCTTGTCCATTTACATTGTTCCAGCAATGTAGTCCAGTTTTTACTCCACACTCCACATTCTGACCAGCATCTGCAGAACTTTCCTTACCTGTAACAGTAATCATTTCTGGTTATGTATAGCTCATCAATAGAACAATATATAATACTACATCCATATCAAAATTGTCCATGTTCAGTGCCAGCCTTAGCAACTATGAGGCAATAGATAGCAAGGTAATCAGATTACATAGTCGGTGCCAGCCTTAACAAGTATGAGGCCATAGTTAGCAAGGTAATCAGATTACATTGTCAGTGCCAGCCTTAGCAAGTGTGAGACAATAGACAACAGGGTAATAAAATTACATAGTCAGTGCCAGCCTTAGCAAGTGTGAGGCAACAGACAACAAGGTATTCAGATTACATAGTCAGTGCTAGCCTTAGCAAGTGTGAGATAATAGACAGCAAGGTAATCAGATTACATAGTCAGTGCTAGCCTTAGCAAGTGTGAGATAATAGACAGCAAGGTAATCAGATTATATAGTAAGTGCCAGCCTTAGCAAGTGTGAGATAACAGAGAGCAAGGTAATCAGATTACATAGTCAGTGCCAGCCTTAGCAAGTATGAGGCAATAGTTAGCAAGGTAATCAGATTACATAGTCAGTGCCAGCCTTAGATAGCAAGATAATCAGATTATATAATCAGTGCAGTATTAGCAAGTATAAGGCCACAGATAGCAAGGTAATCACATTATGTAGTCAGTGACAGCCTTAGCAAGTGTAAGGCATCAGATAGCAAGGTAATCAGATTAAAAGTTACTGGCAGCTTTAGTAAGTGTAAGGCCACAGAGAGTAAGGTAATCAGATTACACAGTCAGTACTAGCCATAGGACATGAGGTCACAGACAGCAAGATAATCATATTACACTGTTAGTGCCAGTTTTAGCAAGAGTCAAACTACAAATTAATCAGAGTACAATGTCAGTGCTAATAGCCTTTGAAGGTTGCAGTACACAGATTAAGATCTTAAACCTCACAGCAGAACAAAATTTTATCAAGTTGATCAGATTCCTAAAGTTGAATGTTAGATTTGTACTTTTGAGTATTGGTTATCTGGCAAACGTTTATAAAAGGTGAAGAAGATAACTCCAAAGTTCACTGTCACATTTAAATTATACAAAAAACAATAATTTAATTTCTTTAATGCCTTATTACTTCTAAAAGTTTTTCTTGATGAACATTTAGAAATAAAAATTAATAGCTTAGAAGCTTTAATTGGAATAGAAAAAAATTTTCTCTAGACCAAAAGTAAAGTTTTTTGCTGTCAATTATTCTCTAAACAATTATCATGTATTTCTCACAACTATGTCAAAACTGTACTGTTTATGCCAGTACTAATAAAGTAATTGTAAAAAAGATTTTTATTACTAAAAACAAGTTGGGTTGAACATTTATGCTAAAATAACTATTATATTGTCATAAGATCATACTTACTTGAAGCCACTCTACATTCAATAGCCAGAGGGTTAGAACATAAACTGTGTTTCAAACGAATTTCTGAAAGATCTTCCATGTCACCACTTCCTGATAGTGGGGAATCAATATTGATCCAGTCTGTCCAGCACCTAATTTGTCCAACTGCAGTTGGCGTTGGTGGAGTGATTACTATGGAGGAAACATCATTCAATCAAGTCAAAAGTTGTAATCATCTAAATGTTATACTGGATGAAAGCAGTAATGTTACTTTTAATTCCTGTTGGAAATTTTAGACTTTTTGGAATTTTACTGAGTACTTCAATTATTGCACATCCAATTATGTCAAAGTTAAAACAAATGAAATTTATACATAAAAATTAAGAAAAATGGGCTTATGTATTTTACACGACCTAGTAACCACGATGTAACCATGAAGGTATACATGCTATAACTCTGAAAGTACTTAATGTATGTTTACTAAATTTGGCAAACTTTCAGTAAACATTATAAATCTTTTGTGGGGAAAAAATCAGAAATTTTAATTGAGTAATTTTACTACAAATTTGTCCATATATATGGAGTCAGTGAGTTGACTGCTCCAAGTACAAAGTGATTTTCATCTTAAGATTAAAAAATACTTTTCTTCATCTGAAAAATTTCAAATTTTATTTGTATAATCTCCAAACCTCCTAATAAGGAATGAAATGAAATACAGGTGGTATTTTTGTTTAAATTTTTGTGCAACTTGTAAATTTCTACAAATTCTGTATCCAACAAAATATCAGATGTATGTGGAATTTATTGAATAGACAATTGAAAAAAAAAGTTTATAAATTCAACGAAACAATCAATTCTATGGTCTAAATTATATTCCTATTTTCTTCTAGTTTTTAAGTAATTTGGGCATTCACAAGATAAACTAATCTGTCATAACCACTAGCTCTTATTGCTTTAAACAATGCTTTCCCTGTGGCTAGTACTTTAAGAAACATTTCCAATATAAATGCTCAATTCTTATTACATTTTATGTCCCTTCTGCTTTAGCATATGTGACTTAAAATAACAACCAGGTCTC